GTGGCATGCGGCTCTACTCACGCTTCTACATTCCCGTTGCCTCTTTTCAAAGTGGGGACTATTGTGAAGCTGGTGATTATAATGCAAAATTTGGTCATTTCATTTCTGGGGCTATACACAAAGGCCAATCACCATATATACAAGAGCCAGGGTCTGCCTTTCACCGTGTTCGCTCGAGCGTGGGCTGAGAATAATAGCTGAAAAGCGGGCTGAGGATCTCAATTTTTATGGCAGCTCTAGCCGCATCCCGGCGCGAAGGGGTTACCACTGAATCTGAGCCTTAAAATACATATTTGTGACTGAAAACCTCACTCTACTTGGGTCCATTCAGCTATGGTCATCAAGCTTACTAGGTTTTGTTTAATTCAAGAAATATGTAATTAATCTCCCGTATTGCTGCTGTGGTTTCATCGTTTTGCCATGCGGTACTAGCCTTGTCTCAAGGCGTCCATGCGGATTCACAGACTGAATTCCTGACATGTGCAATACGCATATATGTGAGTATGAACTTGTTTGGGCCTTGATTTCACTGATAGTACGGTGCACGTGTGAACGGCCAATGTGTATGCCGTACAACGCCGCTGCGCTCAGCTGTGCCGGCTGCTACACGCAAGGGGTTCATGCACGCCATAGCACTTGCAAATATCGGTACCGTAAGCACGATCGATATATCGATATTAACGATATGGGTTTGATATTGATATCGCAATGTTGGTTATTTGATAACATTCATATATCGAAAATATCAGATTTTCAAGAAATATCGAAACTTTGAAAACATTGTTATTGAAAAATATACTGAAAATATCGCTACTTAGGAACTAATTTTATTAAGTGCACCGTCACTTTACCATAATTTTCGATAAGCCACGGCTTACGTAGGTTCTCACTTTTTACATACATAACTGTGCATGTGGCATATTCACTTCTGTACTCTGTAGTGTCACCATGGACCTAGCCTAAACACAACCGCAAAGAATGTTGGCATTACTGGGCACAGTGCACGTACATGCAGCTTACTTGTATGTAGTCAACCTTACCTCTTGAGAAAAGACTAACATTGGGGTTACAGCAATTGATGCATTGACACCAACCCCTATAGAGCGCACGTGCATGTGTGTTGTGTGATTCCGTTGCAGTGGATTCCATTTCAAAGTGTTGATTCCGCGAATTCCGTATGTTTTCCATGATTGTGGAGAATCGTTGGCTCTACCTCCCGTACATATGGCGTACCCAGTGGCTCCAACACCCTAACCCTGTACGCATACGCATTCCACACTTCCGGAAGATGCTGTTGGTCTTTGTGTCACGAGTAATGTTGCGGTTTACTGATAATGGGCGATGGCATGGGAGGATAAATGGTTGGGCGGACGGTGGAGAATACCGAGTTTGAATTTCTACGCACAAAAGCCGATTCTGGTATTCATTTGTAAGATGAAGTGTACTGATATGATGAAAATTCATTAACCTTCCTATTGCTGTAACCTTCAAAAACAGTCAAAAATTCCTTCCATTTCCCCTGTACAGTACATGGACATATCATTTGACTGATAGGATGACTGTGTTGAGAATGCATCTTTGCACAGGAAGGTTAAGGCAAATTTTCGGTTTGTGTACGGCACGCACTGGCTTGAACCCCCTTCCCTCTGTTTTATGTACTCAACAGCACCAACCCCCCCACCTCTTTGTGCACGTATACGTTCTATATGGACCGCCCCTTAACCGCTCGACAAGGTTTCATTTTGGCCGAAAAATTTCAACTTTTAAAAAAAAACAAAAACCAGACGATACAGCAGCCCACTTTCTGATATACATCCGAATGTAACAAGTGGTACACGTATTATCTGAACGGCACTGGTAGGATATTTCTGACTGTAACGCTATATTTTTCAATGCTCTGCTAGACTTTTTTTTTTTTAAATTTGAAACGACCACATTTTCTCGTAGGTCATCTAGCTGCCGGTTTCTCATTTGTCCGTATCAGAATGAGGAAATCAAACGTGTGACAAATTACTCTACAAAACAGGTCATCACACTTGAAACCTTACCTGCTGTTTTAGGGACAACATCACTGTAGAGCTGTGGGTAAAAGCAGACAATACAGAAATCAATCAAAAATTAATCAAATATTAATTAAAAAAATACACCTTAGGCCAAACAAAAAATAGCTGTGTTTCCCGGTCTCCCGACCCAACCTAGAAAATCATGCGGAACCTACATCTTTTTATTTGACAAATCAATAAAATGTAAAAACTTACGGTGCCTTGCCCCGAGCCTAATTTTGTGTATATCGTCCCGTACATTGTATTGTTTTAATTTTTTTGCATGAGATGGACAACTGTGTTTGTATTTCAACAACCAGCTGCTTTACTACTCAATCACAGTGCTGATATGTAATATTGACGTGCACATTAATCTGACACCGACTTAGTACCTGTTACAAATATACACGCCACCCCCCCAAATACAGACTAGTATACGATCCTAATTTTAAAAATTAATATTTACCCAACCATCCCCCATAATTTACTTTTCAGTGTAACAGGAAACAAGACTGTTTGCTTGGCCTAATGTACCAAAATGTACCTCTTTTCCCTAAAAAAAAAACAAAGAAAAACCCTGCAAAATTATTGCTCAACTAAGGTCTGGTCGATTTGTCCCCTTCTGTGCTTAATAGTGACAGATCCAGCTAACTGAACACAAATCACCGAGTCTCGATCTATATGGCTCCTATCCACCCTAATGTTATCTCAAGTCAAGGAAGAACTAAGTGTGGCATTTCAATTCACGTTTTCAATTCAAACATGCCTTTATTTCCCATGGAAAATGACAAATGCAAGCGCAGAATACACTACACGAAATAAAATAAGTCAGACGACAGAACAGTCAGACAGACGTAAAGGCTAACATAAATAGGTGTGGAAGCCTATTCTAGAAGCCTACATGTAAGGCTTATGGCGACATGCCTTGGACGGACCAACACAAAACAGAAACGAGAACTGCAGGTCTTCTGTCTGCACTTTGCAAAAAGGCCAGTGGCCCTTCTTACATCCTTCTGCATAAAAACGCAGCAAGGTCTCTATTATTTCGACTCAGAAATGTTGAAATATCTACACAATATCACTTGATGACATCAAGACTGGTGTGAAAAGTTGTAAGTGTATTCAATGTGATTACTTCAATATTTTCACTGCTAAATTTGACAGTTTAGGACGACGATCGTCATGCTCTGAATATTCTTGATTTCAGGGATGATTTGGCATGTTTGGGTGTGTCTTTACCCTTTTTTGTTGAATATTAAGAAAGAAAACAATTTAATTGTAGGAGTGATATGAAGCTGAGAGTCCATGGAGACAGAGGAGCAGACAGAAAAAAAAAACCTCAATTTAGTGAGTGGCCGGATTAGGAAATCTCACTTGGAAGACATGACTCTCTGTGACATCCGGGAGATTTGTGACTCTTTTGCGGTGAAAATACACCACTACATTATGACCAGTCAACGGTGTTTTGACCTCGCTGTGACCTCAGGTTGCAAAAGTTTCCAGATGAACGTATGATGTTGCATATGTCCCTGGGCTATCGAGGTATCTTTAACAATGCTAATGCATTCTTTGGCGTTAACATGTTGACTGCCAACCACTGGTATTCTCGCAGTAAAAGGTGTGGCAGATTCTGTCCACGAGTATACTCGTAGGAAATGAAAGGCTTTTGTAATGTAAATTTAACATCACTGAGAACACTGCTAGCAGTGGTAAGGACGTTCATTAGCAAAATGCTCACTCAAACAGCAGGGGTGTGAGTAGAACATAAAAGAAAATTGCTGAAAATAGCTGAAATTGCAAGCGCGAAGCATATATGCCACAGGGTTCAGAGCCTGCTTAAGGGCCCCAAGCATGCCAGGAAAATTTTGAAATGCAGATGCTCTGTGGTGCCTTTTAACAGCCTCCTCGAGCAACTAAGGGTAGGCCCTAATTTTTTGCTTGCAATTTAGGCCTACAGCTAGGCCGTGTAACTAAACTGTTTCCGATTTGAAGGGGAAATTTTTTTTTTTCCCCCAAATGTGAATAACCTTACCATCATTACTAGAATCACTGATTCTCACTCGGTCTGGCCGTAGCCAGGTGCATTAGACAGTTTAAAGATCATTTTGGAGGTGAAGTCGGAAGATTTTGATTTGGGATAAGAGTTATTTTGAGTGAAATGAATTAATGGAAGCAAAAGCCTATAGAAGGTACTTATAGTTAATAGACCCTATAAAATATCGCCCATGAATGTTCGTGGGAGAGGAGCTGATGTCGGACCCCACAGTTCTGGGGGTATCGCCCAACCATGTCATGCCATGTCCTAATGTAAAAAAACGGTGATTTATACTACATGGTCCAACTTGGACTAGCCTATGCCATGGCCATGATGGCTTAACTTTTTCATATTTTTCTGAAAATTCCTGACGGTTCAATTGAACTAGTTTACTAAAACTGTAAATATCAACATGATCAAGGTTTGTAGACTGAGTTGGCCTTTCCCCACCTCATTTGACCACATTTTCAAAATTTCAGTTCTTTGTAACAATTCATTTCTTTGGCAGTCAACGGTAACGTTTTATAACGTGAAGACATGTATGCCTACGCTTACATGATGATGTAAGAATGGCGGTTCCAAATCATTCAAACATGGCATATCGGACAAAAAATTAACAGATTTCGCAAGTGAATTTAGTCAACGTCAACGTCCGCAAGAGTGTGGGGCACAGGTTACGGAGACAGTCCAATATCTGGGACCCCATTTATGATTTTATGGGGCTACATCTCTACGTGAACATTAGACTATGATAAGTGAAAACGTGAATATCATTTAACGTTAGCCTAGTCGAGTCGCAGTTACGGACATGACGGACCTGATCTCAGCCCAAGTTAGACCACAGAGCTACGCTTAGACAATGTTAGACCCTATTTTCAAACATTAAAATACCTCAAAAACAACCCTTCCAACTGGTTTACCACCGACGGTCATGTCAAAGTAACATTTAGGTCTTTCCATGGTTGACAGAAATCGTCGAAATATGAGCGCAATTGTGAAAAATTTGCAGCCAAAGTGGCGATCTTCCAAGACCTTCAGGAGCTGAAATCTTGTACTTTCGAAGCACGCAGCTGAAGCAGCAAGAAAGAAAGGGCACCGGTTCCGAGGAAATTATGCACAACGTGATCGCACGCTATTTGCTGGTACCCCGCGCATAATCGATTTCATGGCCGATGAATTCGAATACCAGCGTAATTTACCAGGAATGCGCTTCCTTTCCTACGGGGGACCCAAAAGGACATTGGTCGACGATCTGCGTTTTTCAGCTGAGTGTCCCTTAATTTGGCGCCCATGAAAAAATCTCAGAAAATGCTACAAAAAATCCAGAAGTTAAAATTGATAAATTCTAGTAAATCATTATTACTTCCACTCACCTAACTAAAATTTAACAAACAGTTGGGGGTCGGCACACGTGAGTAGAGAAAATGTAAACGGTAACCAACGAAAACATGAAAGCCTTGTCCCGGTATCCCTGCGTCCAGAGCGCTGCGCCGCTTGCACGCGTGGCTTGCAAGGATATCCCTAAAACTAAATAAATCACTTTTAAAAAGACAGTCCAGATTGAGATGTAAAATATAATCCTTCTATACAATTAACTTCATAAATACTTGTCATGAGTGGATCATTGATCACATGTCATAGAATTATTCATTCTATTCAAAAGTACCTGAACTTCACTTCGCTGGAGTTGATTGGTTCTCACCCCCCCCCATTTTGTATTATCCCATTCCCACTACTAAGAAAGAGGGAAATAATGTCGGGACGGGAACCAGTCTAATATGTGAGTAGGTGGTGGGTAGCACTTCGAACACGAACTGGTTTCGCAAATGACTGACGTTAATACCCGAGCGGGATCTATTTGTTCCCCTAGCAGAATATCACGGGAGTAAATCCCGGGGGATGGGCGGGGGGTATACTGCATCATCCCCCACTTTTTGAGAGGGGGGATGGGCTATTAAATCACCCCCTTTTTAGTTAGGGATGAGCAAAAACATGTAAGCGGATTGTGAAGAATGTTTAGGATTTCCCATGTTTGCAATATCACTAAAAAAAGGGAACGACTTTTATAAAGCCATAAATATGCCATTTTGATGTAAGATTCTGCAGGAATTTGATACACATTACAGATGTACATCTTTATCATGAACATCACCCCTATATAGTTTATATGGTGCAGCCCTCCTCCCGCTTTTCAAACTTCCCAGGCTGGGCAAGTCCCCCCCACCTTTCCCCACCCACCCCCAATTTCCAGCACAGATTTACGCCACTGTAAGAAGATGACTTATGCAGGTATTGTATAAAGCAAAGGATGGAAGTTTCACATTCGTGCAATGATAACATAATTTTAGGAGGTGGCAATTGAAATTTCCATTAAAATATTTCAGCTGTCACCTCATGAAATTATTCTTAACATTGCACTCATGAACACTCATTGTAGCAGTATATTGGCATGAAATGTTTAGTCGATTGCAGCAACGTTTGGACTAGTTTTATCGTTTGTTATTTTTATATTGATGTTTTTCTAGAGATTTTGCCAAGGCAGCATTTATTTTCCCTGTGCTTTTATCTGTTATGCTGACGTACGCATTATTATATAAATCTTTTAATTTTTTTCATTATTGGGTGTCCTTTAACGACAACCGTAGTTTGTTTTTTGCCCGGGGACGGACCCAACGCCCATTTGATGCATTCTGAGGGCGCTGCAACTACCCGTAAATTCCACTAAAATAATGCCGGGCTAGATTTCTATGCATGAGCTCATTAATATGTCGTGATCCAGGCAGGTTATTTACGATAAGAAGTGTCATAATCGGGAGAAATGACGGAGATATATTATTAAAATCACCAGTTTGGGACTTGTGGCTTCCATTTTTTGGCGCTCACAAAACCTGCCAACCTGTGGGCCTGTTTTGCGTAGAGGCGGGCGGCTGAATTCCGAGCTGAGTGCATAGTTTTACCATGGTTTTACGGAGGTAGAATGTGACCGTGATTTTACTTAACCCCAGAACTGTGTAAGGGGTCTGGGAGCGAGCGGGGCCGCGGACCCGACAGTTCTGGGGTAAGTTTTACCACTGTACAACGCTGCCAGAAATCTGTTGACTTGAAATATCATATAACTTATAAGTCTGTGCCTATTACCAGCCACAAGGTGGCGGCTACAGCTAATTTTGTAATTATCATAGAAACAGTTTTATTCCCGTCCTAAGGGTAAAGCCTGTGGAATAGTTGGGGCCCCCCCGGGGGGGGTCGTCATTCACAGTGCGCGAGCGTCTCTTTGCACATATGCAGCAAGGTATGAGACGGAGAGAACCCCTCTGCTTTGTGTTGGTCATTGTCTCGCAGGAATTTGGGGAATTCCTTTCAGACATCTTGGCGGGATGTGTTAAGTAACAATGTCAATAGTCACGAATGTGTATAGGGATTGGACATGGTGGGGGGGGTACCCCTTGGTCTCATTTCTTGCTGGGTATATGATTTCGGCCAAGGCGACCTTCTATTTCAGTGTAAAGTCAAATATTGCCATTAGGATACAGGAGTTTATGTTCAGCAGCTAGCCTACCTACATACATGTACCCGACCGGGAATAACCGCACATCAACGCTACCAACCGAACATGCCGAATATAGACGGGACAATTTCAGAATATTTCGGCTATTTCCGGAAAACTGGACGAATTCCTCCAGTCTTGGTCACGTGGACATTGGGTGATACCGGACCCTTGATTCGTAGAGTAGTTGGAATCATCGGGTCTGGTAGGAGTAGGGAATATCGAAAGGGAGTGTACCGAATGGAGTCTGTGTGTGTGTGTGGGTATGAGGGGCTCCGTAATCATCAGAACTGTGAACTCGTATTAGTGACAAAGTCAAGCCAAAAATTCCTTTTTGATGGGAAGGCAATGCTGGGTGACGGGATATGTTTGAAAGATTTGAACAGCTATATTTTATCCAACTCAACTGGCTAAATTTACAAAGCATTTCAGATGCAGATACATCAGGGCAAACTGAAGTACCTCCTTCCGTTTTAAGCTGGAGACGATCACAGAAGAAAATGACACATCAGAAGCCTTAATCACATTTCTTTCTTGCTCTATGAGCTATTTTTTTTTTAATATACTTGTTCCTTGCGACAGCATAGCTTACCACTGCACAATGAAAGAAGCACAACAAACACGCAGACCAAATTCTTCAAGTAACTTCAGATGTCCTCACCTTTTGATTCGGTTTTCATCTCGAGATTGTTCACCTCGATGGCAATGAAATCTCAATCAAATGTGCGTACGATAGTGACAGTAGCAACAACCATGTGTGTGTTTTTAAAGACCTGAAGCAGACCCAGCGTTGTCACTCTCTTGACGAATTCCCGGCTTGAAATGGTGAGCGTGCAAAAAATGGAACGGAGAAATTTCTTTTGGCGAGTGAAAGTCAACTAATGAACTTAGGAATACATTTGCTGCGGGAGAGACACCTTGCAACATTCTTTCGTTAATCTCCTAAACTTTAAATATAGTTCAAGTTGGCGTGGCACAATTTTAAAGACAAATTTTAAGTGCTTGGCCGGTGTTCATGGTCCAGGACAATACAACTGCTGCCCCACATCCTAGGGGGCAGACCCTAAGTGGAAAAGGCATACTTTAAATAGGGCGAAAATTAATATACTTTTTAAATCAAAGACATCACTGTCTGTATTTTGTACACGATCAATTTTTTAAAAATATATATAAGAAAGAGCACAGTTGCTTTATTACAATCCACAGAAACTAATGAATTGATCTGCCCTCGCACCAAATCTTGCTGAGAACGTGATTCTGTCATCCGGCACTGGTCCAAAATTCAAAAATTCAACGTACCATTCTCATTTTTGGAAAGGAAATACGAGACCACCAAAGAAGGATTACGGGTTTGTAGCTATATATACAAACACAGGCACACGCAATCACATTGACTATACAATCATTGTGCATTTCGGTTGATACAAAATGATGCAAAAATGTACTTAATTTCAATGCTGCATACTCTACACGCAAATCTCATTAATTTATCCTTGTTCATGTCCTTGTTTTCTTAAATTTCATTACAATTTACACATTGAAAAAAGTGACATGCATTTGTCTTGTTCTGTGAATGAAAAACAGATGCATGAAGCTTGCTGATGAATATGCCCAATACACAGAGAACTATGCAACTGCATGATCCAGCCTAGAGCTGCTATAAATTGAACAAACCAAACTTTGAGGCTTCAAAACAGTCAAAAAGAGTTGTGAAACAATTTTTTGAGAGCTATAACTTTAAAACACCAGTTTTGTGCATTATAAATGAACTTTTTTTTTTGGAGCCAGAGTCAAATCTGGGATGTTTAGGCTAGAATCATGAACAGAAATGTAATGTTAAAGACATAACAGGTTATGAGAGAATTATGACCCAATTTAGTTGGATGGCCCCCAAATCTCTTCTTCTCTGATGATTTCTTCTATAATGTTTGAACGGAGTTGAAATCCCATCCCAGCTGCAGTATGTTTTGTTCGTTTGCTGCACAAGTATTTGCTAAAGGCTTCCATCTTTTCTGTAAGTAAGCATGCTGTTTCCCCCCAAACAGTGAATACATTGTAATCTGCTGAGTAACAATACTTCCCAAACCGTCTCATTATTCTGAATTCTTCTTTCTCAAACTTCTTTGCTTGATTAAAGTCTTTTTAACTTGAAATAATCAATTCTGCACCCATAGTCTGGAATGAAATGCCTTGTAACTTTTGAATATCTGTCACAAGGAAAAAAGCATCGATGACTACTTTTTTACAAAATGCATTTCAAAGAAACCACAAATTCATTGCGAAATTAGGACTTTTTTGTTCATTGGAGTCATGACCGAAAACTCAATCTATGAAGTTTAGTGGCCAACCAGTGTAATGCCCTGGGAACAAAACTGTCAAAAGGAAAACTATTCCAACCCTCCCCCACCCAAAAAAACCAAAAAAAGAAACAAGGAAACTAAAAGCCAAAATTACGGACAGAAAATTCTCCAGAAAGAAAGCCAGCACTCCAGGGCAAATCTGAAAAAAAAAAGCCTTTAAAGCACATTCCAAGCTGAGCCAGTTGCATTTTTCTTAGAAGCTGTGCGACGGTGTATGGTGTCCGACTCAACCTCGTCGGAAACAAAGCATGGAAAATTCTGCCCTATCTCTGGAAAAACTGACATGAGAAGTCGGCATGGCACAATTAAAATCCAACAAAAGCGACATCTCTGCGGATCTGCGTATTTATAGATTTGCCTCTCAAGCCAAATCAACAGTGTGACCGCTTCTGACCAGCCATCATCACCTGGCGACTGACCCCGACGGCAATACACACACACATGAATACTACAAGTGAAATTGCAAGCCCGATTAAAATGCTACTTGGTCAACAGTCTGGCCCAAACGCTCGCGACCAGTGAAAGATAACAATCTGGCTAACCTTTCCAGGAAAAGGGCACTACCCTTCCGCCATCCCAATTCTGACCTTAAAAAACACTTCATCTAATAAATAATCACAAGAACCCACTAATATTTATCTTTATTTTACAAAGTACTGAATTTATGAGCAGTGCAGTTTTAGGCCTTAAATTATTTCATCCCTTGGCAGTTATCTATTTACAAGGTAGCATTCTTTAACAGATAGTCACAAATTTCTCTTTTTTTTCCCCTACATGCTTTGCAGGAAGGTACCAAAGCTCAATAACTATGAACAAAGTATTGCGGGACTCAAAGTCATAAAAAAGTGTGAATTTTGTTTTTGTTTTGTTTACAGCAATGTTTAAATTATACAACTTTCCTTTTCTCGTTTCTTCGACAACAGGAATTGCCACGCTAAATGAATACAGACAATCAAATATGTAAGAAGGATGAAGTGTAGTGCAGTATACGGAAATATTCTGTGTGTAGCAAATAAAATGCAAGCTCTTCTAACATCAAAAATATCTGCCACAAGCACATTGCAAGTTTATATAAATCCTGCTATCACAATAACAGCTTTTGTATGAACTGTCCTCACAATGCCAATTGCTATTGTTAGACTTGCTATCAGAATATCAGCTATCACAATGTCGGGTATTTCAATGCCCGTGATCACAGTAGTGGCTACTCCAGCACCTCCTATAGCGTAGTCGGGTCTCCTGATACCTGCTGTATTTGCAATATAGGCTACCACAGAATTAGCTATTGCCGTAGCTGCTATCACCATGCTGACTACTGCAATACCTGCTATCACCATGCTGACTACTGCAATACCTGCTATCACAATAGCAGCTATTGGGATACCTGCTATCACAATGCCGACTATGTAATGCCTGCTATCATGATGGCAAGTATTTTAATACCTACTATCACAACAGCAGCGACTGTAATACCTACTATCACAATAGCAGTGAATGTAATACCTGCTATCAAAA